ATATAATGTATCTTTATATATTATTAAGATATTATATTTGATTATAAAATTATAACATTAAATACCTTGACTCCAATTAGTGCTAACTCCTTCAATCTTCTTACTAAACTGTTGCCTTTGTAGTAAATCCCTTAACTGCCTATTTACTTCCGGTTGCTGTCCAAAAGTCACTTCTTGATCCTGAGGTGTCCGAGTCTCGGAACTCCTTGGTGACGGATAGCCAGATGCGGTGGAGGCAGACGGAGTGGGAGTAGCGGGTGGTTGGCTGTAAGGATCGGGAGTTCGCGATGTTGCAGGAGGAGGGGGAGCATAAACGGGGGGCCGCGGTGGATTAAATATGGGAGCGCGGGATGTACCTGGCGCTTGAGGCGATGAATAGGGAGATGCAGGGGTCGAGACATTGCCTTCGAAGCGCTGGAAATGGGATTCCTGAGAGGACGCAGGAGACTGAGGAAAGTCATGGGGCGACTGAGGTGCCTGCGGCGAGAATGGAGATGGTGGCTGAGGAAATCCCGGACGCACCCCTCGGCAAGGAGGAGCTTGCACGGGGAGACGTACCATGGATTGATGATGGGGAGACTGAGGTGTGAGGCTACGTGGAGCTTTAAGTGAGGGCGTAGCAAAAGTGCTGCGGGAACCTTGAGAAGGCGAGGCTAGAGAGGTCAGTTGACTCGTATCCTGCAACAAAATTTTAAGGTTTATATTAATTGATATTAGTAATACATGGAATGGAAACCTATAGTGTACATTAATATATAGGTATGATCTAAGTGAAAAGGGATTAAACAGATCATAATACTTACTTGTGCTGTGGAAACTTGTAATTGTGTTGTCAATCCGGAAGTAATATCACCGCTCAGTTGGGGTGTTTCTTCGCTGATCTGTCTATGTACTCTGGCGATTGCTTTTAACAGAAGAGAAAACATATAAAGAATTTAGGGATTGATTCAACTAACAAAAAAAAAAAAAAAAAAAAAAAAACAATAGAAACGCGAGAACGCGTTACTTATTACAAAAAAAAAAAAAAAAAAAAAAACAATTTTTTTTTCTATGTATTAAATGATAATATATATGTATAAGTTTAAATTTTATTACATTTTGTTTTCAATTTTAAAACAGAAAGATTTCCCAATTTTTGTATGTGTGTTATATTCGCTTAGTTCGCAATTAATTGATAATTTAATTTTTGTGTTTTTAGTCGTAAAAATCATGTAATAAAATCATATAAATTTTTTTGTTCTCTTTATTCGTTTGAATTTAATTTAATTTTTTATAAATTTTTACTGTAAACATATATAGGATACTTTTCTTATAACAAAACAATATATTTTCAGTATACGAATTTAATATAACGGGTATACCATGCACACGTTGTTCAATGATAACTTGCTGTTGTATTTGCGCTTGTTGCTGACGTAAAGCTTGCAGTTGTTTCCATTGTCTTTCTTGCTCAGCCTCTCTGCTAGACCGATCTCTGTTCGAAAGTCTGTCTTGTTCCTGTCAAAGATCAACTCGATATAACTTTTAAACCATTATTATAAAAAGATTATTATATTTAACATAGCCTTTCTTTACCACAATAATACTTTTTATTAAAACTATATTTATATTGATTACTGATACTTGAATTAATGAAAAATTATAGCAAAATTAAAACTACTATTAAAATTGTTAATTTTATTACTTTCATTAAAAATTTTTCTTTAATTAATAAATTCTACTGTGAACACACGTTATTATCATAACTTTTGTTAGATATTAATATTTATAAATTTAATTAAAATTTAATAAAAACACATTCTCAAAAAATTTATGAAAATATTTTTACAATTATAATTTCATACGCGTTTGTATATGAAATATAACTTCATATAAATTGTTATCTATATTATCAATAAATCAAATAATCCTAGAATATAATAATCTTCTTTTTTTTGCATAAATCACTATTAAAGATGAAACAAAAATTACAATAAGTCAATAAGAAACGTTCATATATTTTATGGTCGGCCAAAAATCTAAACAAATGCCAAAAAAGCTTTGAAAATATGTTAATAAAAATATTTAAATGTTAATATTAAACTTATTCTCTATATAATCTCATATAATTTCTATTATATAAGTGTCTCAAAAAAATCACTGGATGTTTTTCTAATAACAAATTTTTTTGTCCAACTTGGAATCGATTTTTTGTTAGCAGAAATATTAAAAAAAATTTGTTTTTTTAAATTTTAAATTTTTTTCACACACACATCATAAATCTTTATAACTAAAGTTTAAATTAAAATTCTATTAAAATATAAACTCCACCTGATATTAATTGTAAAGAATATAGTTAATTTTTTAACTCACAAAGTTTAATTTGCGAAGAGCACTTTTTTATCAATTGCGTATAACTCGGAAATTATTCTTTTCACGTTTTCAATTAGGAAAAATCGTCTCTAAATTAGTCAAAGAATTTGCTATTAAAAGGACGTCTGATGATTTCGACATTTTACATAAAAAACAAAATAAATAATAGTAACAAAGTAAATTAATAATAATTTATAAAATGTAATCTCTCTTCTGTAATATGTGCAAACACATTAAAAGCAATTATAATCTGTCACCATCTATTAATTTAAAGAGATTATATAAAATATAAGTATATAATTATATACATATACATACATATATATACTTATATACATACATACATACATATATATACTTACATACATACATACATACATATACACATCCTACATACAGCACATATATACAAATTAATTCATTTAAAGAAAATATTTTTATCAATCACAAAAAACACCATAATGTCATCAAAAACTAATAAAACTATTCCACATCCATGCACATATCAATGTTAATAATTCCAACTATCTAATCCATTACATAACAAAATACAATAATAACTATACACACACAAACATGTATGTTAAAAGTTATCTGTATTAATTATAAAAAAGATATAATAAGATATAAGATCTCGTTTTGACAGAGAAAGCGGAAAGAATTTTTGTATTCATTTATTTAAGAAATTTCTATTATTTATTTTATTTCTATTTGTTTTATATCTTTTTCTCCTCATGTTAATAATTTACTCAATATATTTTTCACTGCAGATTTAGCTCAATTTTAAAACAAAAGAATAAGAAAAGAAAAAAGATTTAAGATTTATTATAACAATAAAATCCTAATTACATTCATAATAGTTTTGTGGAAAAGTCTCAAAGAATATAAAGTAGTACAATAAACTATTGCATAAAACAATTATACAATATATATTCTGATATATTAATCTATCACCCACAACAACAGCAAAAAATCGTAAGCAATATCGATGGATTCAAAGGAAAAGAAATGATAATAATTTATGACATAGGATCCATCCAGGGGATAAAAAATGACAGGATTGAATAAAAATATACTACCAATCATAAACATGCATTGAAATATCTAGATTGTAATGTAAAGTATTACCATAAAATACTTTCTGTCACAGTAATAAACTAACAAAAATATCCAATGTTTTATAAAATATTAAATTATATAGAAGAAAAAAAAACCAGAAAAATATTATTATATTTATCCTAACAATATATATAATTACCTCCAAATTAAAAATTGTATCTATACCAATTCAAATTAATTAAAAAATATATATTAATACATATCTAAATTAACTCTTTATATATAAGGCAAATATTAATATATTGAAAATACAAAACAAAACATAATGTAATTCATATATCAACTGCAAATATTAAATACGTATTTAAGAAATAAAAGTCTCATTTGAAGACTTTAAAGGTATAGAAAATTTTCGCCTAATATCTCAAATATAAAATACATACATGTACATATACATACATACACACGCGCGCGCACGCGTGCATGCGTGTAGGGCGAACACTAAATCTCGATTAGACACAACGAGAAAGGTAAGAAAACACTACGGAGGCTCTCACCATGGCGTTATTCGGATGGTGGTGGTGGTGGTGGTGGTGGTGATGGTTCTGTACGGGAGGCACAGTGTGAACAATTGCACTGGGTGGTGGCGGGGGTGGGGGGTCGTAGTGCTCCTGGCTGAGGGACGGGAGGGTGCGCATGATCTCGGATGGAGTGAGCACTCGTATCTGATGCTGATCTACGCTACCGCTCCCGCCGCTATTGTTAACGACAATCGGGGGTGGACGTTGCTGGAGAGGTGGTTGCTGCCCTTCACCCGAATTATTGCAATGAGAAAAAGAAGAGGAAGAAGAAGAAGAAGAAGACGAAGAAGACAAAGAGGAGGAAGAAGCTGCTGTTGTGCAAGATTGCAAGGCAGACGACTGAAAATTTCTGGGAGCATCGGGAGAGAGGGAAGGGCTAGGCGGGGTTTCCTGCACCCCACACACCTCCTGATGCTGATTACTGCTGGTTGATGTTATTCCTGTGGTCATCAACATTCCTGACTGCTTTTCCATAGGCTTCAGGCTCACTGCCTGTTGCTGCTGCTGCTGGGCCGTCATAGCGACGGGCTTGGTGATGATGTTGGTCATGGCGGTAGTAGTAGTGGTAGTGGTGATGGTCATATTGATGGTGGTGGTGTTGGTGGTGGTTATATTGGTGGTGATGATAGTATTGGTGGTGCTTGGTGGTGGTGTCTCCTTGGAGAGCTGTCGGATTAACACCGGGCGATTCGCGGTCACACGATGCGATATATACGTATATGAAGGTGTCTCATCGCATAAAGCGATCTCATATAAGAACAAACTTTGCAAAACTCAACAATTGTTACTTTTAAAATCGTTTACATTATTTAATATCTTTTCTAGACAAAATTTATATTAATAAAAATTCTAATATATTAATTGATATGTGTGTGAGATTTCATAAATATTAAATCTTAAAAGATACACACACATTATAATATAAATCTAAACAAGATCGTCTTAAAATGATCTCAGGAATCTACCCTTAAGCGTTGATCCGATCTTTACGGTACACCCTGTATGTATATAAACAATTATACATACAGGATGGGGCATTTATATTGAGACACCTAAATATTTAAAAAATAAAGCAAGATAGAAAGAAATGTTTCAGACAAAAGTTGTTCGGTTCTAAGGGGGACACATGATGAAAATATGGACTTGACCTTGAATGACCTTTTCAATATAAGTACAAATAAAAGAACTTTAAAATAAATTAATTTTTGTAAAAAAATATAAATTTTTTTCTCTCTCTCTCTTTCTCCCTCTTTTCTGTTTCACTCTCCTTCTCTCCATTTAAAAAATGTTATTTTATAATTATTTTGAATTTTGCAAGCAAAAATCTTTACATTTTCTAGGAAAGATTGAATTAAACATAAATGCTATATAATGGAACTCTACAATAACAGTATAATAGAACTTTATAACAATAAAGCTTTATGCGAGAAACACCCTATACGTAAAAAAATGATATAATGGGCCCGAACGAGGCGACATAAGAACGCGTTCGACATGAAATTTTATCGTTAGTGTATATGACATCATCAGTTTTGTATTTACGAAATAAAAGACACATAAAAGCAGGGTATATGGATATTCTGTGTAGATTTATGAATCTGCGGATTCGTGAAAATCTTCGAGGGCTTTTATTGGATGTGTATCTAAATAGTATGTCATATATTGGCTGCGTTCCATTTCATGCATGATGTGCATGATGCATTACTTATACTTGTTGTTCACCGAATGTTAAACAAGGATAAGTAATGCATCATTGGGACAAAAAGAATAACATTCTTCTATAAACTTACAAATCTATAAATTTACGAATCGTAAATTCACAAATCGATTTTGTAGATCTACATCTGTATATCTGTAGATCTATGTAAAAATCGATCTTATATAATAATATCATTCCCTTTTTTTTTAGACTCATGCATGTATAGTCTGGAAATATCTTTGCGAGTAATTATGTAAATATTTCTATTTTTAATTTTTACATATAAAAAATATAAGAATTAAAAGTTTATAAACCGCCCCTTTTCACCTCATTTGGGCCCACTACATAGAGGCCCGTTCACGTTCAATTCTATGTATTTTTGAGCGTGAATCGGATCTATCATTATATTACTAGTGGCTTACAATATATTTTCTACCGCAATAACTCGATGTAAATAAGGATTTACTAATTACAATATTTTGCACTATAAAGACTCGATTAAAAATTTTTAACCCTAAGATCTTTACTTAATTTCCATTTTTTTAATAGTTTTTTTTTATTTACTTTTTGGCTTGTTCTTTTTAAAAAATATGTGATCATTTCTAATTTAATTTAATTTCTATCTATAATAAAATGCATGTTTATACATACATTTCTAATGGAACTAATATGTGTGGAGTATAATAAGTATAAGCATAAATACATGCTTATTATTTTATAATTCAAATAAAAAATTATTTTAATTGTTATCCATGTATTATTTTCATTATTATTTTAACCATAGTATTTATCTCAACACATTTATAACAAAAACAAACAGTTTAAATACAATCAAATTTTCATAAAATATAGAGATTATTTCGTTTTAGTCATCAGATTTTAACCAATAATGCTTTAAAAATCCTAAAGTTCATAGTAGGAACATAGTTTGCGACACACAGAACTGTCGAGCTGTTAGTTTCACTTGAATGTTAGCACAAGACACTTTTGAAGACAAAATACCAATGAAAGATCCAGAAATACGAATATCCCAACAAATTATCGCGTTTCTTAGTTATAAATCTTTGCTGAGGAATTAATTAACGCATAAAAACTAGTGTAATAATTGAAGTCCGTATGTTTTTTTTCATTTTGAGATATACATATATGCATATGTTATTTACCTGTTGTGTCTTTTTCATGCGAATGGCAGCTCGATTATCTCGGGCCTGAGTCAAATATGGAGCTTTTTTCTCATTCGAAAGGGCTCGCCACTTCTTCAAAATCTGCTTACATCTCTCGGACCACGCTGCACAAATTAAAAACATTTATTAGACCAGCAGAATTATAAATCAGAATTTTGTAGCTAGACTTCAACTTTTTGCATATAAATTGCATCGATAAAAGATGGAAGATATATTTAAAAATTATAATCAAAATAATAATCAAAAGATAGAAGAAATGTTTACAAAACCCAACAAAAAACGTAATCTCACCTGGATATTCAGTTTTCCATTCAGGATGATTGATATTGGCATAGAGCACCGAAGATATTGTTGCTCCAGTACCTAATGCTTCGTCAGCCTCCATTTTCAGATTGCTTCTTTGATTATATGAGATAGTAGCATTACCTGCTGTAGTGTTTCCCTCATCTTCGGGATTCACCCATGGACTGGGTGGCTCAGAAAATGCTGGACTGAATTGTGGACTGCTAAAAAATTAAAATTAAGATTAAATTAATATCAAATTGAGATATTGTGTATCTATAAAATTGTATATATATATATATATATTCGACTGTGTTCATAATCTGCCACATTCAATCAAATCGTAAAGTATACTCGACAGTTAAAAGCAAATCCAAGTTGGAATAAGATTCGAACACGCTGTGGTAAGATCGAGAGTTAATAATCCCGGGGTCTCCGATCATCGGAGAGTTCCCCGGTGTGCCTCGATACGAGAAGGCAGTATATATATATATATATATATATATATATGTTTCTACTAAACCATATAATTAATACACACACAGAGTCATAATCGATAGTAATAACATATTAATTAAACAAACCCTTTGCCTCTGGTACTACCCCTTCCAAAAGATCTTCTGTTAGCTCCTCCACGAGTGATACCAAGAGGTCGTTCTTTTCGGGGTCTGCCAGGTCCACGACGAATGTTCAAAGGCTTTCCACCAGGCAATGGGAATTTTTGATATCGCAATGGATCATGGAAAGCTTCATCCGGTGTGACTAATAAAAGAAAAGAAAAAAATAAATAAATACTAATATAAATAAGAGTTTGAAAAGAAAATATTATAAATAAAAATATTACAAAAGGGAGAGAAAGAAAGAGGGAAAAAAAAGAAATAAGTTTAAAAAGAAAAAATTAAACATACAAATATTTAATATTAAATATTGCTTTTCATTAAAAAATTAAAATGTAGCCTCTTGTGTTTTTATTAATAATAAATATAACATAAATAAATCAATATATTTTCTACCGCAATAACTCGATGTAAATAAGGATTTACTAATTACAATATTTTGCACTATAAAGACTCGATTAAAAATTTTTAACCCTAAGATCTTTACTTAATTTCCATTTTTTTAATAGTTTTTTTTTATTTACTTTTTGGCTTGTTCTTTTTAAAAAATATGTGATCATTTCTAATTTAATTTAATTTCTATCTATAATAAAATGCATGTTTATACATACATTTCTAATGGAACTAATATGTGTGGAGTATAATAAGTATAAGCATAAATACATGCTTATTATTTTATAATTCAAATAAAAAATTATTTTAATTGTTATCCATGTATTATTTTCATTATTATTTTAACCATAGTATTTATCTCAACACATTTATAACAAAAACAAACAGTTTAAATACAATCAAATTTTCGTAAAATATAGAGATTATTTCGTTTTAGTCATCAGATTTTAACCAATAATGCTTTAAAAATCCTAAAGTTCATAGTAGGAACATAGTTTGCGACACACAGAACTGTCGAGCTGTTAGTTTCACTTGAATGTTAGCACAAGACACTTTTGAAGACAAAATACCAATGAAAGATCCAGAAATACGAATATCCCAACAAATTATCGCGTTTCTTAGTTATAAATCTTTGCTGAGGAATTAATTAACGCATAAAAACTAGTGTAATAATTGAAGTCCGTATGTTTTTTTTCATTTTGAGATATACATATATGCATATGTTATTTACCTGTTGTGTCTTTTTCATGCGAATGGCAGCTCGATTATCTCGGGCCTGAGTCAAATATGGAGCTTTTTTCTCATTCGAAAGGGCTCGCCACTTCTTCAAAATCTGCTTACATCTCTCGGACCACGCTGCACAAATTAAAAACATTTATTAGACCAGCAGAATTATAAATCAGAATTTTGTAAAATTAAACATACAAATATTTAATATTAAATATTGCTTTTCATTAAAAAATTAAAATGTAGCCTCTTGTGTTTTTATTAATAATAAATATAACATAAATAAATATGAACAATTAAATCCCACAAGTATACATATTCTATATATATATTATAGTTTAATACTTTTATTTAATTGATTTTATATAATAAACTTTATATTGTTTTAATAAATATTGTAATTAATAAATCTTATTATATTCCTAAAATTAGCAAAAAAGAATAAAACAATTTTAAAACTGTTAAATTGTAGTTACTAACTGTTACCAGGTGTTGTTGGAGTAGATTGCCCAAGCAATTGGTCCGAATTGGCTGGAGATACTGGTATCCCTGTAGTCTCTTCGTCCTCATCTTCACCTTCGGAAGCTTCATCCAACTCCATTTCCTCCTCACCTTCAAGACGTGCTTCATCATCCATGGCACCTCTCTCTCTTCCTCTCCCTGTCCTTTCTTCCTATCTCTCTCTCCACCTGCTTTACTCTATACCAATCTGAAAAAAATATTTAAAAAATGTTATATAAATATATATATACAACGTTTTATATAAAATTTATTACATTATATTATATAAAAAATCTAATCATGCAAAAGTTATCTAAAAAAATTTATATAGTATAACTAAGACTTCAATTCTTGTATATAAATTAGAATACTGATTCTCGATGAAACAAAAAAGCATAATACATAAAATAAATGTCTAAACTACAAAACACTTTCCTTCTCTTAAGATTATATAGCTATTACAAAATACTTTGTTAAAATATTAGTAACAAAGTTGAAGTCTTATCAACCAAAACATAGATTTTTCTCTTTGGTAAAAATCAAAAAGTTAAGAATATAATTTTTTGATAATTATATATCTAATTTGAGGGATAGAATTTAAAATACCGAAATAATTTTTTCTTCTCTTCCGGCGGAATCTTGTGATCCTCTTCGAAAAAAAAAAAAAAAGAGAACAGGAGCAAGGAAGGATTAGGGTCGCGACGACGGTGTCGGGGCGCCAACGGGGGGGCGACACTTTTGAAGACAAAATACCAATGAAAGATCCAGAAATACGAATATCCCAACAAATTATCGCGTTTCTTAGTTATAAATCTTTGCTGAGGAATTAATTAACGCATAAAAACTAGTGTAATAATTGAAGTCCGTATGTTTTTTTTCATTTTGAGATATACATATATGCATATGTTATTTACCTGTTGTGTCTTTTTCATGCGAATGGCAGCTCGATTATCTCGGGCCTGAGTCAAATATGGAGCTTTTTTCTCATTCGAAAGGGCTCGCCACTTCTTCAAAATCTGCTTACATCTCTCGGACCACGCTGCACAAATTAAAAACATTTATTAGACCAGCAGAATTATAAATCAGAATTTTGTAGCTAGACTTCAACTTTTTGCATATAAATTGCATCGATAAAAGATGGAAGATATATTTAAAAATTATAATCAAAATAATAATCAAAAGATAGAAGAAATGTTTACAAAACCCAACAAAAAACGTAATCTCACCTGGATATTCAGTTTTCCATTCAGGATGATTGATATTGGCATAGAGCACCGAAGATATTGTTGCTCCAGTACCTAATGCTTCGTCAGCCTCCATTTTCAGATTGCTTCTTTGATTATATGAGATAGTAGCATTACCTGCTGTAGTGTTTCCCTCATCTTCGGGATTCACCCATGGACTGGGTGGCTCAGAAAATGCTGGACTGAATTGTGGACTGCTAAAAAATTAAAATTAAGATTAAATTAATATCAAATTGAGATATTGTGTATCTATAAAATTGTATATATATATATATATATTCGACTGTGTTCATAATCTGCCACATTCAATCAAATCGTAAAGTATACTCGACAGTTAAAAATATATTTATTTATTTATTTATTTATTTATTTATTTATTCTTACTTGCTATATTCAGAGTGATATGGTGAAGGCGGTGGGAAACTCATCGGAGAGTTTAAGGTTGATTGGCCAACTGAAGGTAGACTACCAGGTACTTGAGGTCTTACCAAAGACATTTGAATACCTACAAAAGAATTGCGTTCAATAGAATAAAAAGAATAAGAATTATAAAGTACATGTATAAAATATAACATTTTTAATAACCACGCCTCGGCTTTTATTTGTCAGTTTCCTCACCTAATATCGTTAGTACTTTGAGCCTATTGCTGTTATTATTTTAATTTTTCATTCTTCTAATGTTCTAATCTTAAAAACAATATCTAAAATAATTTTTTTTCTAATCTTTTTTATTAATTTTCCTTAGAAAATAATAAGTTTTAGATATAAATAGTATAAACAGATAATTTGATTTTTATTCTAGTTTTTATTATCTGCTATCGTAACAAAACCATGTCAAAAAATTATCTGTATATATATTTAAAAAAAATGGATTAAGTTCATATACTTGAATATATTTTGACGGAAATTACATAAATTCACTTTATAATATCATTAATTACTATACACATAACTTAATTTCAGCTTTTTTTTGTTAGCGATTGCACTTTGTCATTATTTTTATTTTAATTCTATTTTAACGTAAATTAAGGCAGATTTAATTTTCATTAGTTATTAATATGTTCAGTATTATGTACTTACCAGGATGGGGAGAGGGTGACACTAGAGGGGTAGTAGACGAAGAAGGGTGTGAAGTTTGAGCTTGGACAAAAAAAAAAAAGAGAACAGGAGCAAGGAAGGATTAGCGTCGCGACGACGGTGTCGGGGCGCCAACGGTGGCGCCGACGAGGGAAGAACGTTCGCCATTACTACGTAAACAGACTCGTCAGGGCGCGCCGCCGCCTGCCCTTGGCGGGGTGTCGCAGCACTCGGCGCCGAGCATAGTCCACGTACCTGAGAATTAATGCCGCTGATAAGGCGACCTGGGTATCATAGTAGAATCAACGGCGGGCTGATGGTAATTGCGGTGGCGGCGATCCAGCCAGGTAAACATGTTGCAGCTAGTGCGTACAAATCTGTGGAAAAAAATGTCACATACACAGGTAGAGATACGCAGACAAGGTCTCTGCGCGAACGGAAGAGTACACCGCAAAACGCGACTGACGCACTAGGATCACGGAGGAACGGATATGGGTGGACAGGTTTACCAAACGTCTCGAAATTTTTTCCTACATTTTATTTGGTGACAGTTGAAAAACCCTAAAGGTGCCTTTACATGGCAGCGTCAAGCGTCGAGCGTTAAGCGTCTGCGCAGAATATTGTTGCCCAGAATTATATTTCATTAATTTTATTATATAACAGATATATTTTTTAAAAATGGATTAAGTTCATATACTTGAATATATTTTGACGGAAATTACATAAATTCACTTTATAATATCGTTAATTACTATACACATAACTTAATTTCAGCTTTTTTTTGTTAGCGATTGCACTTTGTCATTATTTTTATTTTAATTCTATTTTAACGTAAATTAAGGCAGATTTAATTTTCATTAGTTATTAATATGTTCAGTATTATGTACTTACCAGGATGGGGAGAGGGTGACACTAGAGGGGTAGTAGACGAAGAAGGGTGTGAAGTTTGAGCTTGGACAGAAAATACAGATGATTCTTGAGATTCTTGAGATTCATCAGTCATAACACCCTTAAATATCTCTTCGATATCTTTACTATCCATATTTGGTAATCCTTAAAAAAAATGACAAATAACATTTAATTATTATATTTGACCACGTTTTAATAATAATAATAATAATACTAATAATAATAATAACAGTAATAATAATACTGTGTATATAATATAAATTAAAATTATGCTTGCATATACACACACATAATTTTAATATATAAACTAATGTAATACTTAATATAATTATTATTTTAATCTTTATAATGTAATCTTTATCTATAAGATCTTACCAGTGTCTCTGACCATCGATTCTAAATTAAAATGTGGACTCAAAATATCTGTCAGTTCATCCTTATTTCCACCTTGAGTATCATCCAATTCATCCAATGCTTCACTAGCTTTTGCCAAATCTTCGTCATTTTCATTCATTATTGTATTCACTAGATCGCTGTCCAATAAATCCCCGGAAATAGGTAAAATATCACCAAGTGCTTCAGTATCACTACCATCATCTTCTACAATTTCTTCTCGTTTGATTTGCTCTTGACCCTTCTCGTCTTCTTTTTCTTGTTTTGCTCTACTAACTTGTTCCATTGCCTTTAATACATCTTGAGATAACTGAATTGTATTAGCGTTTCCAGGAGTTTTGTGTTCTTCTTCGGACTCACTGCTGCTTTCAAGATCCTTCTCCTTTGTCGTGTCCATCAAATCTTTCCCAAAAAACGCTTCTTGCATGTAAAGAGGAAAACATTCTGCCAGCTTCGTCTTTGGCTTTCTTCTTTGAGGTTTTCTTCGGGGTTTATCGTCTCCCATTCCCACTCCTATCGAAGACTCTCCAGACTTTTCAACATCTCCTTCTTCTTCTTTGTCCTTTCTAGTACCTCTCAATCTTACAATAAATCCTCCAATTCCCAATTTTTGCAAATTTCTTTGACGTTTTCTTCGCAAAACAGGAAGTCCATTTTCTGAAGTGCAGATGCTGAAGCCTTCAGGAGGAGGCTGGTTCCATACCATACCCTCCTTCAACACTGTTTCTGGTTCATCTTTAACATCCATCAGCTCCAACTTGTTATTTTCTTCCAAAGAATTGTCCAAACTTCCTCCAGCAACAACAGATTCAATAGTCGCCATAATATCTGCCTCTTTATCTACCAGTGGAAGCATTTTTCTTCTCTTTTTCCTTGTTTGCTGATGTTCGGCAGTTAAAGATTTAATATGATTCATTCCAGCTTCAGAAAGATAAACTCCATCTAAAAGATATGGCTGCGAAGAAGATTTAAACAATTCCGGACTTCGATTTTGCGGTGGAGGGGACGATCTAGTAAATTTTGGAGGAGGTTTTGAGAGAAGATGAGGAGGAGGAACATCTCTAGGACGACAAAGGAGACAAACGTAACCTTCTTCGGCGCAACGTTCAGCCTCCGTTTCGTTTTTAATCGAATCGCAACTACAATGGAGCCATCTTTCGCATTGTACACATTGAATAATGAGATCGCCTTCCTGATAAGCTTCTTGACACGCTATACAAGCAGTATGGGAAGCGCATGGTCCGCACTGAGTGTAACTTTTCTGCCAGGATGAATTAAAACCAGGATCGTTGGAGCCGCAAGTTTGGCATTGCGCGCACCATTTGCACTTCCAGGTGCCATGTGGTACATGATCCAAAGGCGGATCAATGCAATAAATGTGATAGCTGATGTCGCAATCGTCACAAAGGATTAATCGAGCTTCATCATTTCGTTCGCCACAACCTTAGAAACAGAAAATAAATATTAGAATGCTTGTGATAGATTCAGCTTAAAAATTTTTTAAAATGCCACCATTACACTCTATCTCTTTAAGATTCAAGAATGCGCATACTGTGCGCACCGAACGCATCTGTCATCTTCCTTTGTTAGAATGAGATGGAACTACGAGTTATGTTTTTTCTCTCTTTTCCTACGTACTTTTATATATTAGCGTTTTCGAATGAACGAATTTTAATTCATCCCGGATTAACTAATCATTATTTTACTATGAATTCGTCTTTTATTGGCAGAGACGATGCAATGACGTCGTTAATCAACTGTGAGTCGATCAAACCAGGATATCGATCATGTAACTTTTCCCCTAGAGTGGAAAAGTGAAAAATTTTGCCATTATGTTTGTTCGCGTTGCTTGAACTTTTTGCACTCAGTATCTTCGCTTTCACTTTCTTCAACATCCGAATATATGTTTATCTCGTTTTCAGTGCAGAACTTTTCGGGAATTTCAAGCAACGCGACAAACCTATAGATTTCAATGCTAATATTTTTCACTTTTCACGTTTCCACCCTAGGGAAAAAGTTACAAGATTGGTAACCTTGGGGACTTATTAAAGGCCGTATTACACTACGGGTTGCGGGCTCGAGTGCGGTTGGGGTTACGGTTGACGATTATGGATTGACCAATCAGAGCAAAGCAGCTTGCCGGTTGATTGGTCAAACCGCAACTATCTAGCAGGGGCCATATTCTTGAAAAATATTGCATACAATATTTATCATTGCACAATTATTTTCCGATACGTTTTAGCTGCGCAATAACAAATATCGTATGCGATATTTTTCAAGAATATGGCTCCAGAGCGCTCTGCGCAGTACATGTACGGGGTTCTCTGATTGTGTGCGTATGAGCCGAGACTTGTTGTGGCAATACAGCCGCGTGGTTGCTTCCCTCTCTCTTTCTCTTTTTCTAAGTGAGCACGCGACACATTGCTTTGCAAAGGAAGACGGCAAATGCTGAGGCTCCTCCCATCGATCGCAGCATAGGCTGGATCCATGCGCGTTACCGTATCTATGATCATCTGTATACCTCTGTCTGTTTATTTCTGTTTATCTCGTTTATTCTTTCCCTTTCTTTTTTTTTTATAACGAGATGATAATTAACAGCAGCCGATAGAGTCTTTTCACTTATTGAGGCATTTGCCAAAGTTTGTATGATTCGTTGCGATCAGTGTAATCTATACGGAATCGTGTAATCTAGTTGATCAAAATATTAAATAGCTCGTCCGATTCTTCATTATCGAAGAGGCTGTCTCGATTAAATTAGCTTATGATATCAATTCGTGTTATACTACACAATTGATAATCGACTAATTTACGCTAATTTTGTGCATTTGTATAGTGAATTAGCGTTTTTTTAATCATTTTTTGAGCGTAGTGTTAATAACCTCCATTTTTTTCTGCTGTTTATATTATTATTATCACATTTTTCATTTCAGTAATATCTCATTTTGTTATATGTTTTATCTTACATGTTTTTTTTTAAATTTTGTTTCATATTTTGGATATTTTATCAGTACAGATTTAATTTATATCTAGATAGAAAAGTTATTTCTCGAATAAAAGATATTTTTAACAAGTATAACTAAACAAAAAACTCCATTAAAACATAATATAAAAATAATTATAATATATATAATATATATCAGGTCTACCGGAAATTTTTAAAATCATTACACTCTATCTCTTTAAGATTCAAGAGAAAAATTAACTTTTAATTATTAATAGGACGAAAAAAATGCTTTTAAAAAAAATAATAGAAAATAATAAGAAAAAATAATATAGAAAAAATCTTAATAATGTTTTGATGGAGGTATGTTTTAATTTTATTAATTAGATAACTATTCAGGCATCTTATACACACACATGCACGCACACACACTTACATACATATATACATATCACATGCAATTGGGCAATTTGGATAGTGATTTGGATTAGTTTGGATAATAGAAGTTCGAATAATATTCAGATTTATCGCATACATATTAATCATAAGAGGGTCTATATTGTCCATTCAGATACTGATGTGATATGAGAAAGCCTATAAATGTTTATGCCATGTCAAGTGGCAATATAACAATTTGAAAGCATACAGAAGCTACATATATCACAAGTTTATACTTTTTAGTATTCTCAGAATAAGATTTTATAAATTATTTTAATTTTTAATTAATAGTCTTAATTTTTGTATTGATCAATATATAAAGTATCCATATTTTCGTTAAAAATATTAATAAAATTTAGCCAAACATCTATATATTAATTATTGTCATTTATTTATTCATTAATATATTTTAATTAATGTTTCAATACCTTCACAAACAGTGCAATCAAGGCATCGCCAGCCCTTTTGCAAAATGACTTTGGTCACTTTGACACTAGCGCAGTACGGATGGTAACACTGGCCGCATTGTGCGCACGCAATTAGACAACCTTCTTGATCGATACCGATCGCACCGCACATCACACAGATATCCTGAGTTAGAACAAATTTATCCTTGGCAGAGCAGAGAATTAATTTGTTCTCCCCTCCAGGCTCTTCCTCTTTTGATGTGGAGGAATCTAGTACTGGACTCTATAACCAAGAGTGTACAAAAAGAGTGAAATTAGTTTATTATTTACTTATAGATATAAAGTAATATATATATATATAGAACTTTCCGGTAGACCTAATATAAAATATTAGAATAAAGAATATTAATTAAAACTACAATGAATAATGAATGCAATTTTGAAAGTGTTTATGATAAGTGCGTATAAACATTGTTGCAATGGTCGATTTTCCACGGGAGCGCATTTATTTCAATTTCCATCGAGCACGGATGTAAGACACAAATTATGGATACGCAATAGCGGTAAGTTTCTTAAATTTTCTTTTATTTATTTTTATATTGTGTACACACACCACACACATATATATATATATATATATATATATATAGCATCCGGTGACTTGAAGAGCAAGAAGAGCATGAGAGTGAGCAAGACGAGTATGAGAACGAACGAGACAATAATAAAAACGAGCGAGAGAGAAATAGCAGTGTGTAAAGCCCGTATCAGACTACGCATTGAAAATTGAAGATTGAAGATTAAAGATTGGAATTTGACTAACCGGAACAAAAAGGACTAAAATTTCTTTATTCTGATTGGTCAATTAGAGATTAAAAATTCAATATTAAATTCCATTATTCATAATTCAGTTCATTAAATTACGCTATTATAAAACAATATTTAAAACACTTTATAATTATACTATTAAAAAATTCTGCTATTACTCTTAATATATTTTGTTAGTAGAATCTGTGTAGAAAATTTTAATATTAATAAAATAATAATAAAAAACAATTCTAGAATTGAATAAATTGTAATGTGTGTGCAATAATAATATTGGATATATTGAATGTGTGCAAAAATCTTTTATATTTAATAAATTTGAGGAGAAAAAAAGAAATACAAAATAAAATAATATTCATTAATAAATCAATTTTCTATCAATAATAAAATACTTTTATCGACTAAGAAACTACAAAACTCAATGTAAAATAAAGTATAAAATTCATGAAATTTTCAATATATTTTCAATTATATATAAATATATATAATATTACAAACTTTTTCAACTATTGCACATACCTGCAAGCCCATTTCAGGCAGCCCAAAGATTCCCCTCATTTTCGCTTTTGGTCCTCTCTTCCTACCAAATTCTGTCATTTTCTGCCTTTTTTGATAGCCCAACTTACCCATGCCTTTGGGCCTACCAAGAATCCCAGCACTAATTCCCAATCTTTTCTTTGCGATTTTTGTGGCACAAAATGGTTTTCCTTTCCCTAATCCGACCGAATAAAGCGCTTCTTCAGAACTACCACCTTGATAATCTAATTCAGAGGATTCACCGTCGAGGCTTTCTTGAGAAGCACTTAGACTTAAATCGCCTTCGTCTATACTATCCTTTCGTCTGGCTACTATGGCAATGTTCTTACAGTGCAGGCAGATATATTCGTAATCGGGTTTTGCCTCTTTGCGCTGCTGGTAAATAAGTGGATCGGCTTCGGGATCACATGTACCATGTACGAACTTCTTGCATGAATAACATTGTACCATCTCACGATATGCCGCGGCTCTGCAAAGAGCAAATAACAATTAAATATGAGAACATTAAAGTACATTTATTTAATATCTCCGAGTAAGAAAAAGGATAATAATCGATATCTTAATGTAACGAATATACAGGGTGTTTCAGAACCCATGGGATAAACTTCAGAGAGTAGTAGGTCTTACCAAGAGAATCAATTTTTATCAAGAAATCTGTATCCTTGAACGCATTTCTGTTCAAACCGCTTGTAAGATAGACAACTGATCACGCGACAGCATTGTGCATGATATCTAACAATACTATGTCCTTTGATTTTGTTTTTCTTTTTGTTCTTTTTTTTAGATTTTATTTAAAAGATGTGGACTAGTATTATCAAATATCACGCGCAGTGCTATTGCGCGACCGCTTACCTATCTCATAGGCGGTCCGAACAGGGACGCATAGCCCTTTAAGGACGCATCGAAGAACATGAGTTTCTTGACAAAAATGCATTTTCTTGATAAAATTTGTCATCCCCTGAAGTTTGTCCCATAGATCTTGAAACACCCTGTATGAACCCAATGTATACTGTATACATAGATCAGAAATTTGAGTGTAAGAGATGTGCAGGATATTTAATTTTTTCAAATTTTCCGAATTTTCTATTACATATTAATAATTTTTAAAACACTATAATTAATTTCTGGGTCAAAGTAAACCGATTAAAATCGCGTTTCAAACGCATTGACATATTTAGTTTTATAGTGTCAACTGAACTGCACCCATAGCTGCACCAATATCAATACAATTACATCATATCATAGAAGAAATTTCTAAATTATGATAAGAATTATATACAAGAATTTAAAAGATTAATCGTCGATTATATCTAACAATTTTATTTAATTTGATTAATATTTCTTAAAACTATAATATATTAAATAAACGCATCTATTATTTACATAATAGTTCTCAATTATTATATGTATATATCTCAAGACATATTATCTGAAAATATTTTTATATATGATTATATTATTTATCAAATTTTTTGTAACATGTGTAATGTACATATTTAAAAAAATAATCAAGATATTCCAATTACCTATATGCCTTTCTACATAGTGGACAGGAAAAGCCTTTATTGCGCTGCTGGTAACACGAATCACAGACAGTATAATGAGAATGCCATCTGGAAGATAGACCAGCTCCAGGAGTTCGCGAACCGCAATCGGTACACACGCGACAACACTTGCATTTCCAGCCATATTTCGGAATGGAAGTAACGATTGGTCGCAGGCAGCCGGGATGATAAGCTTTGTCGCATCGTTCACATAGCATCACCTATTGTAAAAATTATTTTATAAGAATCTTAATATATATATACACATATAAAATAGAATTATATAAAAGAATTATAATCATATACAATTACAATTGTGTGAAAAAATAAACTTGAAAATATTAATTACACAATGTACTTTTATGATGTACACATAATGAAATATATAATTCTAATAATAATATCCCTTCAAGAAATTTATAAGAATAGTTAACTAAAAACCAAGTATTGAAATCTTTAAATGCTTAATTGCTACATATTGTAAAATTAGTTTAATATAAAAAATTAAGTTAATCATTTTAGTTTATTAAATAATAAAATAAATAAATAAAATTCTTAAAAAATAATAAATTTCTTTATATTTATTTAATCTTTATTTTATTAATTGAATAATAAAATAATTAATTTATTAAATAATTTTAATATTAAGCCAATTCTAATATTAATTTTTTCAGAAAAAAGAACAACTTTTCGAAAAAGAAGAACTTTTCAGTAAGTTTTTCAAAATTTCTTTAATTACCAATTTGATAATATTTTAATATTAATTAAAAATTTTAAAGAAATTATAATTTTTGAAAGCATATTAACATATAAAAAGCACACATATTAAACTTTTATTTTAAATATCTATTTAATAAATTGAATATTTTAATTTAAGATATTTAAACTATAACTTTCAACAATTATTTTCCTATCAATAATTTTACTATAATAAACACATTTAATATAAAAAGAAATAAAAACAATTGCAATATTGTTTAATTACTATTCTTTCATAAATTAAATTTTTTAATATCATAGTCTTAATTGAAATTTTATATAAATTATCATATGATAATTTTAACCTACAATTTTAAAAGACTTGAGCATATTGATTTTTTTAAAACTTCTTATAACTTTTTTGTAACCTTGGAAACATCTTCGGGTTGTCGACAGACTTGACACACGCGGCAAGACACACACTGCCATCCAGCACGTACTCCAGGTAACAACGCTAAGCCCACACAACTGCCATGGTAATGCTGGCCGCATACAGAGCACATCACTAAATTTGATACATCGCCCATTCCATAACATTGCACACAAGTCACTTCCCCATTCACTGCAAATGCAAGATTTTTTTAAATTTCTTTATATATACATATAGAAATATGTACATATATATATAATTTTTTTTTTATATGCCATCAATTTTTTTTTTTCTAGTTT